TTTCAGAAAAAGTTTTCCTCCACACATTTTAAACTTTATCCAGTTTTCGACGTCGTTTTCCAACTGTAAAATTAAAAATATGTTATAGACAGGTTTTGTAAGTATTAGGTAGATTACTAACGCGTTTTTACGTACAAGTAGATTAATTATGCATATAACAAGTATATTCTGCGACTTACGTCAAAGTGATCTTCACAGCATCGAATAATGGTTTTTGGCGAATAAGTTCCATCTCTCTTCGCAGCTTCAAACCACTTTTTTCTCAGTTTTGGGTCAGAAGGTCCAGTCAAAAACAATTTACTTGGAAACTTTGTTGAAGTTGATGGACACATTGGCACAAAACATGAGTCAACACGGCTTTTTTTTGGAATATTAATGGTATTGTTATGATCACCTGATGTTGATGGGTAGTCCATTTTAATTTTTTACAGAAAATTATCTCGAAAATCGAAAAAATAAGCAAAAGTATGAAAGGCAGCGACGAACAAGTACGGCCAGTGCAGTGACAGACAGGAGTCACGTCATCGGAACCATAGGTCCGTTTTCGCGCGAAAATTTAAACTGTCAATTTAAAACCCCATTTTTTCCGATAAATTGCAATGTATTAATTTTTTAATATATTTGTGGTTTATTCTACATGGAATTCTTTAAAATGAAAACAAAAATAAAAATACTGCATCTTCCCTATTGTGCATTTTAATGTCCTTTCCTCTTTTTGAGTAATAATTATTTATAACACGTATTCATAGTATGTGAAATATAACAAATAAATAAGCACTACTAAAATAAACGAATAAAATACAATACGTGGAAACGGCCAGGCGAGGCCGACATACGTGGGCAACGACCGACCGCGCACAGCTGACGCGGCGCGTATCTACTGTACAGTACAGTAAAATCGTCAAAGGCAATTAATACGGAATAGATCGCTCTCAATTCTGACACTACGACCTTGAGCTACTGTGTTCATACAAAACAGCATCTCAAGATCGCTCTCAGAGTTGAGAACGTTCTATTCATACGGGCCTTAGATGGCATATTACAATAACAGATTTATTTAAATAAATAACAAGTGTTATCTTCTCATTAGCAGAGAAAAATACCTAAAAAGTTAATAATAATTTATAACTAAGGTATTACACAGTACTTACGAGACCGGCGATGTAGGTAGGTACAACGGGGAATGAGGAACATATTCATTTTTTTCACTAGAACTTTTTATCAAATCAATCACACTGGTAGTAGTACACTAATTAGTTGTTTCAAATCAAAAAGTATTTACACTAGCAATAAAAAGAGACTTAAATTATTATCTGCAAAATTGTTGCTCTGAATCACCATTTTGCTGCAAACAAAGGTAGGCACGTTTGCGGACGTGTCTTTCCACCTTTTTTAAAGTGTCCCTATCACTACTCACTGCACAAAATGCAACTTCTATGGTTTGGGGACTTATTCGTAAACCAAACCTACTTCGTCACACTCGCGATAGCAGTACACCATCTCTAAATATTCTTGGTTTGTATACCGAGGCATAATGAAATTATCATAGTGTATGTCACTAAGTCAAAAGATGCGCACGCCCACGCGCGATTGATATACTTGCGACTGCGCTTTGCATGCAATCAAAGCAAAGCACCGCATGCGGGGAAGAGGGGAGGTGGGCGGAATTCACATCATCAAAGACGCCGCAGCCGGCGCTAGCGCTGCACATTTCTTGCCAGCGTGCGGCGCACCCGCCCGCCCGTGCTTGCCGCAAAACAACATATTATTATGTGTGTGTGTGTCTGTGTGTGACTGTGGCTGTGATTAAATGTGTTCGGAATTTCATGACGTGGGCAAATCAGACACGAAGAGTTCCTTCCTTCATTAAGCTCGTAAGTTATACCGATTTGCTCTGTATGATTTTTCCCAATTTTAAATAAGCCGTTTGTTCTTAAGTTTTAATTAAACGAGGCAACTAACATTAACAATAAAAAAGAAGTTCTTACATTAACAGACAGGCTTTACCGATTTAAAATCGTGACAGTCATATTAACTTTATAGGATTTTTAATTGCTCTAACAGAAGATAATCATAATCATAATCTTTATAGCTTCATGTTGGTACATACATGGGTTCTTAAATTTAAAATAAAGATTCACAACATGAGCCCTGCAAGGGCATTGCAAATTTTCTTAATTTCTAACAAACAATAGTAACACTTAATAGTAATACATGTGATAATTATGTTTATATATTATTTCATTATTTGTGCTGATTAAATAGACATAACATTAAATAAATATTTACATTTCATTATTTTTTATCATTAACATAAAATTGATATACATTTATTTATACATATTTGGTGTTCTATTATAACTTGATAAACAATTATTTAAATATATATTGCAATAATTGAAAAACTACATTTTTTATTATTGTGACATTATTATTTTCAATATTAGTATACTGTCAATTATTTAATTTCATTATTAAGGTATTCATCAATATTATAAAAACAGTTACTAATTAAGAAATCTTTTAATTTTTACTGAACATTGTATGTTTTTCTTCGTTAGATTAGATTCGATAGATTTATTTAATTGATTAATTACTTGTGTTTTATGAAATAATATTCAAAGGTTGTGTATCAGTGAATAAATAATTATAATATAGCATCTAAGACTATTTTATTGTAATGTTTTTAAATAGTGTGGAATCAAAGCGGAAAGTAGGTAAGCACCGAGTCATCTGTGCGTGTAGTAGGTACACTCGCGGAAAGACCCGCTCTGTCACCCGTAATGCCATAATCGCTTGCGGTAGCGGCGTAGTAAAAATTCATTCATAGACATGTAATTATCGCTGTCTTACTTTTTCGTACAGCGCTGTCGCGATCACGATGCGGATGACAAATTGCAACTAAAACAAATGCAATTCAATTCATTATTCAATCAATGAAATGCTCTCTGTCTTACTTTTATGCGGCGGCCCTGATTGGCGCGTCCGACGCGCAGGCGTAGTAAAAACTACTGTAGAAAACCGTTCAAAGCTTTTTGTTCGCCAAGTGACAGAGCGCAAAATTCCGCGGTAGTACCTACACAGGCGGCCGTCGGTCATCGCCCCGGCCGGCGCTGATCTCGACTGGAGGCATTCATTAAGTTTCCGTTTTTTTAAGAGTGCTTATTTTAAGTTGTTTTACAACTTCTATGTAGACGTGTTTAAAATGAATAATTACTCATAAGGAAGAAATGACAAAAAAAAACAAATAAAAAACGAAAAAAATAATTTTAAAAAATCCGAAAAAAATCAGGCATACTCTATACACGTAACCCAACAATCTCACGAAGTTTCATTGAAACATTCAATTTCACCCTATATATCGCGATTCACTGTGAGGTTTTGGATCCGGCGTCACGGCAAAGAAGGGCACTTAACAGATCATAGAAATAATTCAGGACGACGGCCATTTCAGACAGAACTGATTCGTCGTTATGAAGAGAACGGTTTCACACCAACTAGTTATTTTGCTGTTTTATATGATGTGAGTGCTCGGACGATCCGACGAGCTTTGCACAGTGCTGGACTACACTTCAGACACCATGCTATTAAAGTGGAGCTGAAACCTCACCACCAAACAGCCTGGCTTAACTTTACGCGGCAACATCATGATTTTGCTTAGTCGAATACTATATTTACCGATGAGAAAACCTTTAAATCAAGCCAAATTGGAAGATTAACTTTATGGCGCTATAATCGAACTCTGTATGAAGCTCATATCGTGCCTCGAAACGAGTCAGGTCGCATAACAGTAAACTTATGGGGATGGATGAGCCTCGACGGCGTCGGAGAACTGGCGTCGTTAGAGAATAGGGCTACTGCCATTAATTTATGTGTCGCTTTTGGAAGAAGTGATGCTGCCTACTGTGCGCGTAGTGTATCCTGCAACAGAATTTCCGCCCATTATTTATGTTCAAGATAATGCACGGATACTCCCGGCCCGTGCTACTATAGCGTGGTTCAACATGCACCGTGACATTCGTCCCATTCAATGGACCGCTCGGCCTGCTGATTTAAACCCTATTGAAAAATTATGGGGTCTTATGGTTCAATGCTGGGACTGTCAAAATGAAAGGAACCCTCTTGATCTTAAATCACACTGTGCTCGAGTATGGGATGATATTAGAGGGACCGATCTATGCGCGCATCTTGTTGCCTCAATGCGAGATAGAATACGTGCCGTCATAGCTGCAGAGGGAGGTTATACTAGATATTAAATAAAGATTTTTGAAGTTTCTATTTTATTATTTCTTCATATTCTAAGTTAAAAAATTGAAATAGTAGGTTTTTTAATGGTTTTCTATATTTGTTTGACGTCAGTGCAGAGGTCGTCGCCTACTGTGCAATGGGTCGCGGGTTCAATTCCCGTACGGCACAGATATTTTGTATGGCATACAGAAATTTGACCTAAATGTGTTTTTATGATCCTTAAGGTGATAAACATTTGAGATCGTCATTATTGAACAATATATCTCGTGATCAAGGCGTAACGAATGAATGAACGGTTAACTGTCAGTGGTTAAGAAAATTGAAAATTTTCACCACCAGAGGCGATCTTATTGAATGGCCCACGTTACCAGTCAAAATAGACAATACAGGCGGTCTTATTGCTAAGCAGCAATGTCTTCCAGGCAAACCATGACTAAATAACTAGTTTTTTTAGCTGTTTTTTACTGACTTCAACCGGCATTTTAAGTGTTTCGCTGACCATTTGCTATACTTTCATTGTTAGGGAAAAATATTTTTACCGAATTTCACAAGAATAATAACTGTGCCAAATCGACTGACTCTCGAAAGTGATAGATCGATTGTGAAGGGCTACGCGGCTGCAATGGCATTTGTAATAGCTGTGCGTTTTCTTCCCCATTAATTTTCTATAACAACGTAACGTGTAATAAATTTGCTTCAAAGTGTTTGTCACCTGGCTAGACCTGATGATATCGTTGTATGCGTGTATACAGGTGCTAACAACGGGCAAGCCCTAACAGCTGACGACTTAGAACACGCAGCGGTTTGTTTACAAGCGGGTTCTCGCCGGCCGCCCGTGGTGACAGAGGCGTGGCTGCAATCCTCGCGGGCCGCACTCGCCGCCTTACTGGCGCTGAATGTCACCCAGCATCACCTGCTGGAGCCCCCCACGCAGGTGTGTATATATAGGGCGCGGGGCTGCCTGCAGGCGGGGCCCGTAGTGACAGAGGCGGGAGGGGGGGCTGCAATCCTCGCGGGCTGCACTCGCCGCCTTACTGGCGCTGAATGCCACTCAGCATCACCTTTAGTTTTTTTTAATCTCACTGGAACTTTGCATTTTCCAGGTAAAAAAATCCAATTCAGGCCATAAACTATGCGTACCAAATTTCAATCAAATCCGTTCAGTTGTGACAAACAAACAAACAAACATACAAACTTTCACATTTATAATATTAAGTAGGATGGGATTGTTTCTATACCACAATGAATAATAATAATAATAATACCCCACTCGTTCAACAGCAGTCTTGTTAGTAACAGACAACCTGAATTCGAGAGCTGATTTTCTAAACAAATAACAAAATTGAAAATTTATAAAAACACTATAGTTAAGACTACTTGTTTTAAAGATCTAAAATCAAATTTTAAAATAATTATGTTTAAACTTTATTCCATCTCTATTTAACTTTAAAGAACTGCAAAAGGTGGAAGGATGTATTAAACCTAAGTTTAGGCTTTTATTTGTCTTATTAAAATTTTTGGTGCAAGTGGGCTTGAGATTCAATTTCACTAAAGTTCTTAAATAGAATTTAAAAACTAAATACGTTCAAAACTCACGCTATCTCTAATTGACTTTAAATAATAGACAAAAAAATATGATTTGCATTAAAAGTAAATTAACAGGAAGCAACAAACTTTTTCAGCGAAACCAAAGATAAATAAACTTGTGCAGTAGACGTTTTTATAGGTAAAATTACTACTGGCTACTTTGTCTATGGTCATTGCCAAAGAAGTTTGCCGAGGTGTGTAACAGCATTTGGACTTAGTGCCAATATCAATAAACAAATCTTCTTTGCTGTTCACTACAGTGTTGGCATTTTGATCTTTCTCCTCATCAAATTATCAATTCTGTTTAATTCAAACCTTCCATATTAAAACCGCTTTTTTGTCAGCAATATCTTGATATCATTAGAGAGGAGCTCGATGGCGCAAGTGGTTAGCGCGTTCGGCTGCGATAGTTGAAGTTAAGCAACTTTCGCAGTGGTCGGTCATTGGATGGGTGACCAAAAATCTTCTATCTCGAGTTCCTCCGTGCTTCGGAAGGCACGTTAAGCCGTTGGTCTCGGTTGCATCTGCAGTCGTTAGCACCCACCTATCCGCACTGGGCCCGTGTGGTGGGTCATGGCCCAATCTCCCTATTCCATCCATAGGGAAGGCCTGTGCCCCAGCAGTGGGGACATTAATAGGCTGATGATGATCTTGATATAAACAAAACGTACATTTTTTTTTATTCTGATTGTGAAGGAAAACGAGCCAGAGCCAACGTCTCGCGCCGTGGATGTGGAGACCGGAATACAGTTCAACGTATTGAGTGCGGCACTGACGCAGACTACGCACGATATGTTCGAGGTGTCTCTGTCGCGCGCCGTGCAAGGTCAGTATGTTATAGGGAAAGGGAAAACTTACACATACATAATACATTGCACAATTTTTGTTGTGTCGAAAGAGTGGACTATATTTATAAAGAGTTGAATGGTTAGCGCGTTCGGCTGCGATCGTTGAAGTTAAGCAACTTTCGCAGTGGTCGGTCATTGGATGGGTGACCAAAAATATACTATCTCGAGCTCCTCCGTGCTTCGGAAGGCACGTTAAGCCGTTGGTCCCGGCTGCATCTGCAGTCGTTAGCACCCACCAATCCGCACTGGGCCCGCGTGGTGGGTCATGGCCCAATCTCCCTATTCCATCCATAGGGAAGGCCTGTGCCCCAGCAGTGGGGACATAAATAGGCTGATGATGATGATGATGATGATGATGATGATGAATATAGTTAAGTAACCCGGGTTGGGCAAATCCTGCAATATGTAATCATAATCAAAATCATTCATTCAGTTTAGGCTGTTACAAGCACTCATGAATGTCTAGAAGCTACGCCATCGCTTCGCAAATCTACGGCGGGAGACCTTGTCCTGAGAAGAACCGGCAAGAAACTCAGCAAGGGCTGTTTTTCTCTCTGTTTTATTATTTACAGAGTCGTCAAATTGAAAAATGACTTCAGAGATGATTCATGAAGTAACCTTTCATTACATAATGATTAAATAAACATTAATTGTTTACCTGCATTTGATTGTTATGTAATGAGAGTACGACTCACCAAAACTTCTGTAACAGCCGGATTCACGAACTGCAATCCAAAATCAAGAGCTTCAACAAGGAGACGTACAGCAGAGGTGTCTTCTTAAGGTTTATAGTTTGGATTAGAAACGCACGGCGTTTTCACAGTCGGACCGGGTGCTTCGACGTGAAGTTGTCAACTAACTATTGGCGCGAAATCATAGACGGAAATGCAGGAATTGGTTAAACCTGAGCCCGGACGTCAGTTCGAAACCGCATCCCACTAACTTAATTGTAGAATAACGTCCAACTTCGAATATATAACAATATTTTTTATGTAAAAAAGGTGGGAGGATCTCGGTGGCGCGGCTTAGCGCGTTCAGCTGCGATCGTTGAAGTTAAGCAACTTTCGCAGAGGTCGGTCATTGGATGGGTGACCAAAAATCTTCTATCTCGAGTTTTTCCGTGCTTCGGAAGGCACGCTAAGCCGTTGGTCCCGACTACATCTGCAGTCGTAAACACCCGCCAATACGCACTGGGCCCGCTTGGTGGGTCTTGGCCCAATCTCTATTCCATTCATGGCCTGTGCCCCGAGTGGGGTCATTAATAGGCTGATGATGATAATGAATTAGTGGACTGTGTGTCTCTAAATGCTAGACGATGGCTTGACTGGCGATAATTTGACACGCTAGAAAAGTGTCGTAAAACGATAAATTTGTATGTGCAGCTGAAGGAGCGTAGTTACCATCAATCGGGTCATATGCTTGTTTGCCACCCTTTTGGCCCCACCAGTGGGGCATTAATAGGTTGATGATAATCGTAATCAATCATAATCAAAATCATTTATTCAGTTTAGGCTGTTACAAGCACTCATGAATGTAAAGAAGCTACGCCATCGGTCTGATGGTCGGATGAAATTCATAGTTTGTTATTCGATAACCTAACAAAAGTATTTGAGTACGTTGATCATAATATATTAAAATGTAAATTAATGAGTTATGGCATTAGAGGCAATGAATAACCTTCTAATGTATTATAATTAAACACCTTTGTATCACCTTTATTTGCAAATAAATGGTTGATTGATTGATTGATAATGTAGGTCGCAGCACCGGCGCTTCTGAGGAGAAGAACAAGCTATCTAAAGTGACTCAACTGACGGGTTTCTCCGACCCCGTGTACGCGGAGGCCATCGTCTCCGTCAACCAGTACGACATCGTGCTCGACATCCTGGTGGTCAACCAGACCGGTGAGCTGAACTATCTAATTGGTCATTTTTATTTTGCAAGTTTTAAAAGCTATTACATAGCTTTGAGCGCGGCAACCGAATCAAAAAGTTCCGTAACGAAAATACCGGCACCCACTCCGACCGGCACAGTGGTGCGGCGTTGAAAGCCGTGCATCGTCTAACGTCGTTTCAGTTGTGCAGACTTCGGCACGGTGTTTGTGAGCGTGCGACTAGACGTATGCGTGTAGACTAGCTGCTAACTGCTCATAACTGCTTTTTCTTATCGGTCACCACACTCAAAGAGTAACTTGAATTAATATCAAAGAATAAAAATACTGCTTAAATAAATAAATAATTATAATTGCATAAGTTGATAAAAAATGCTATGCAATAGCTTTGCCGCGGCAGTCCCCGAGTGCCACACGTATTTTTACCTCAATTATGGTCTCGATTCTGGCATGATTCTCTAAGCTTAATCCTAAATTTAACATCAGTCTCTCCTTTTCATTTTGTAAGTGAATGACAAGGATACATTGTTGCCAGATTTATTTTTGGTTTAGAGAATCAAGCCAAAATCGACACCAATACTCGCATTAAAATTTCTGATGGACTTTATAGCATCACCCCGTTATTTAATCTGTGCTCGGATCTGCAAATATTAAATTGCACGGGTAATAAAACATTATGGAAGCAGACTTTGGGGAATACGCTTGAAATTAAAAAATAAATGAAAAAACAATACGAGATAATTCATGAAGTCATTTTCCATCTAGGGTGGCAATGCAAGCTTGTTTCTATTCCTTGTGTTAAAATTGTGCATGTTACTGTGTTTGGTATACAAATTGATATTATTTTTAACGAGGAGTATGCAATTATAAATGAATTGAGAAGCAACAGTCGAAATGCCAATTTCTTTAATTTTTTCTTTAAATGATCGGCTACTTAATTGATAAATAATGAAATGAAATGAAAAGTCATTTATTCAGTCTTGGCTGTTACAAGCACTTGTGAAGGTCAAGAAGCTACGCCATCGGTTCGCAAAACTACGTCGGGAGACCTTGTACTGAGAAGAACCGGCAAGAAAGCAATCAGCAAGGGCTGCTTTTTTCTCCCTGTATTGATATATACAGAGTCGTCAAGTTGAAAAATGACTTCAGAGATACTTCTGAAGTCGCTTCCATTACATCATTTTGGATATAGATATATAGTTGCAATAAATTTTATATTTAGTATATAGGAAGCGGCATTAGATAGGTACCATATTACTGTTACAAAAACTGACTAATACCCATCAAATAACAAATTACAAGAAACACTATGTCCATGCATTACGATAATTTAGATAATCATTAACTTTATAATAGCCCTTATTCATAAGAGTATTCTTGACCTGAGATTTAAATTTGGTTAGTGGAAGCTCAATCAGATCTTGGGGAACTTTGTTAAACAATGCAATACTACATCCCAGAAATGAACCTCTTGATTTTTGGAGTCTGAAACATGGAACGACAAGCTTGTTTACAGAATGCCTGTGCTCGTTACTGCTTTCATGTACCACCACGTTCGCATATATCATCGTTTCTCAATGCTGCAAACTTGCTGAAAATGGAGTCACGGCGTAAGCTTCACCTGGCTACCTTATTATTTGGTGTTATAAATACTAACAAGCGACAATACCTGTTAGACAAGTTGGTATGGTTGCAGGAGCACCTTAAGTACCAAAGACGTCTATGTGCCCATGTATTTTTGACGCCCCAGCATCGCTCTGTAGCCTTCAGGGGTTCGTTTAAATTCGCTGCTTCGCGATGCTGGAATGACCTTCCACCTCCAATACGCGACCTAAAAACAATACATACTTTTAGGAAACATTTAAAAGCATACCTAATATCAATGCAAGTAGGAATGCAGTGATACGTTTCTCTCTAAAAACAGAATGATTGATTTGATACCATATCCCATTATTTTCCGTTTAGTCATTACACTTAAATCGCATAGCTACAGTAAATTTCCCATCACAATACGATATATAGAATAGCTGCATTAACATTACATTTACCTAAACCTGCGGCGTTTATGTTGCAGTACTGAATCAGTACAAGGCATAAGCAACGGAGAGGATGAGCCTGGCGCATTTTTTTGTTGCATGCTCATTTTGGCGGCATGGTTTTTCTCTAGTTATTGTTAATCTCTAGATCTTTAGTCAAAACTCCACAATAAATCACCACACTGTTAATACATAGCAAAAGTAATGCGCGCACACGAGGCCATTACGTGGCACACACGGTGACACAGGACAAAGGTCACTCACGATCATTATGTCACTTTGTAGCACAGAGTACATTGCGAAGGGCTACGTTCGGGACCTACAATCCGGGTCCGACAAAATTAAATGCCAGCTTTGTAAATAAATGTTACAACTTTCTTGTGCTAGCGCTCCGCACAGTCACTATTACTTGCGATGCGTCATTCGGGCTGGACAGCAGGCTATCCTTATCGGCCGTATTGGTGAAAATAGGGAGGGACTGTTGCTACGTTGAGGGGTAGCGGGAACGGATGGCTGTGTGGAGGGCCGGCATTATTGTTTATGTATTAATTGTAATGTAAGTAATGTATGTGTTAATCATTAATTAGAATTGTATTCCGTTATATGTATAATTGTGTTCTGTGTTGTGTATTGTCTCGCTTATTCCGGCATTCGCAAATCACCTTTGCCATAAGGCGCTGACTGAAAATCAGCGCTGCTGTGGTATCGCGAAAGCGGTTACCACACAGCATAGCTGAGGCAGCGCCCTATTGGCCTTCCACGGCACGATGTTTTTATTTATTTTTTATCTTTTATGCTTAAATCTATGTTCACTATTAAATAACTATTTGTATTGCTAAGTTAATGCCGTGAAGGCTAATAAAATGTTTTTCTTTCTTTCTTTTCTTGTTCTTAAATCTCGTGTTATAGTTATGAGTTTGACTTTTTTTTGCAAATGCGTCATAGTTTTTTTCTTACATATATTATCTTTTCATAAATGTATTGCGATGCCAGTGTTAAAATATTGTTACGTGTCGGGATGGGGTTCGAAATTATATGCCAGTTCACGCTTGACAGTTCTTTATTCACCACACAGTTCACACAATTAACACACAATGTTAATTACAAAACACTCACTAAACACTGTATTTCACTATACAAGTCTCTAAACAATCTCACTTGAACACTTTTGTTGCACTTTGATCGACTTTGGATTCGCTCCGAAATCGCTGTTGAAACTCAACTGTCCCTGCGCTTCGCCAATCGCGCTTATATACGCCGATCGACGCATTCTAGAAAGTACCTGTTAAATTGAGAATTACCTAGCACCCGCGAGTACGAAATACCTACTTATACCTACGCAGGTAACACGCATAACTTGTAAACAAGTGCAGATGTCGTTGCACTTTCTCCCTTCTGCCGCACTGCATAAGGCTCATTTTAGAATGCCGCCTTACTCGACCTCTATCGCGACCCGCGGTGTTCTGGCAAATTCGATCTCTAGCACTTTCACGGTTACGTTTCGAGAGCGTTTGTGACACTGCCCCCCTCTTAGACATGCTCGTCCCGAGCATCATTGCTGCCGTGGTAAGGTGCCAGGCGATCGATGTGGATTATCTTGGGCTTCTTCCGATCTCCCTGTCTTATCCGATAGGTCACGTCGTTGATTTTCGTAATCACTTTATAGGGTCCTTCCCAACGGGGCTGAAGCTTCGGGGACTTTCCAATCCTTTTCTGTGGGTTGTGCAACCAAACGAGCTCTCCCTCCACTAAGCCTCGAGCGTCGGCATTCCGATCATACCTGCTTTTCATTTTCTCGCCAGATTTCAGGTTATTTTCACGCACGAGGTCGTGCGTTTCGTCCAACCTTCTTTGCAGCTCTGCGACGTACTCTACTACTGATTTGGAGGCAGCAGGAGGTGTTCCGGTAAGTAGGTCCACGGGTAAGCGCATCTCTCTACCGAAGTTGATTTTCGATGGAGTGAATCCCGTGGTGTCATGCGCTGCGGACCGGTACGCCATCAGAAAGAGCGGAATGTAACGATCCCAGTCCCGTTGATGTTCTTCTACGACCTTCGCCAAATGATTTTCCAAAGTCTGGTTGAATCTCTGTACCATGCCGTCGGATTGTAGGTGTGCCGGAGTCGTACGCGTCTTATTTATTCCGAGTAAATTGCACATCTGGAATAAGTTGGACTCAAAATTCCTTCCTTGATCGCTGTGTAATTCCAACGGAACGCCGAATCGGCACACTACTTCTTCAACAAGCCTCTTGGCGACGGTCTGAGCCTCCTGGTTTGGTGTAGCAAATACTTCGGGCCATTTGGTGAAATAATCTTGAACCACCACAGTGTAACGGTTTCCATCTTCTGTTTGTGGAAAAGGCCCAGCGACGTCAATGGCAATTCTTACCCAAGGAGCGCCGACCTGGTAAAGCTGCATCTTCCCCTTGGATCTAGTACGAGGCCCTTTGACCGAGGCGCAAACATTACATTTCCTACACCAGTCCTCGACATCTTCTCGACAGCGCATCCAGTAGAAGCGTTCCCTCACTTTCACCAAGTTCTTTCTTATTCCCAGGTATCCACCAGACGTACCATCGTGCACATGCCTTAAAACCTGAGACACTTTGCACCTAGGGACCCCCGTTTGAAGTGTCTGATCCTTACCATTTGGTGACTCCCATTTCCGATACAGCACGTCTTCTTGTAACAGAAGACTGTCCCATTGGGCCCAGTATGCCTTCGTGATTGGGCTTGAAGCTGATATGTCACTCCATGATGGTTTCCGTCCTTCACTTTTCCACTTCATTATCAGCTGCAGGTCCTTGTCTTCCTTTTGCACCCGAGATATTTCAGCTTTACTCCAGGATTCATCCAATTCTTGAGCCCTTATAACCTTCACTTCTTCTTTGCACTCGCATTTTGAGCAGTGCTTACAATCTTCAGCACAAAGCCGCCTTGATAATGCATCAGCATTGGCATGCGTCTTTCCGCTT